GTTAAATTGCACACTGGAGGAGAAGGTGCAGATAGAAATGGACTGTTATCTCAGCAAGGGGGTCATAGACGGAGAAGATGATCCGCTAGCTTGATGGAAAATGCATAAAAAAATGTTTCTATAAACCATAAACCACTATAAACTGGCCATGGCCAGGTGCTCCCCACAAGATTTCAGACAGAGGAGTGAAAGGAATTATTGGAAGGGTTGTCAAAGGGCCAAAAATCACTTGTGGTCAGATTCCATTGCTCAAGAAAAAGCATGTTGAAACACGTTTAAAATCTGCTAAACAACATTTCATCAAGCCTGTGAAATACTGGGAGAATATGGTTTGGTCAGATGAGACCAAAACTGAATATTTGGATGCCATAATGCAACCATGATTGGAGGTCAAAAGACATTGCAGATGACACCAAAAACACTATACCAACAGCGAAGTTTGGAGGTGAGAACATCACAGCTTCATTCATCCTGTATAATTTATAAACAATGTGAATCAATGTGAATGTAAAAATCTATTGTAACATTATTTTCATAATGTACAAACCATATCTGCCACAAGCTGATAAGTTTCCATTCTTTCCAAGAGAACATAAATGTAAAGTAAGTTAACTGGGAACACTTACTGACCAACATCTGAGCGGAAAAATGTGGACTACAACAAGAACCAAGGAAGTTGTATTGTGTAATGCTACTTTCAGTTGGCAAAGCCCCCCCTTGTCCATCTCTAGCCATAAATAGTGGCAATGGCTGTAGAGCCTCAAGGCCCCATTCTTGTCATATATATTCAGCAGAAGAAACCACTTGTTGTAAAAAAAAAAATAGTTAGTATAAATAATTCTACCTGTAAATGAAGCACTCCCACAACTTCTGTATTATAGTAGTCCTCAAACAACAGACCAAATCAGTAACTGGGTAAAGAGGAATAGATCTGAAAGACCAGCCAGAGACATACAAAGTAGAGAGTGAAACGGCAGGGCTGACAAGAGAGGGAGCACTATGATAGGCTGGCTATTCCTGTTGGTGTGCAGACAAGAGTTGACGGGGACAGCTGTTGTGATAGGAGGCTGCTAAAAGGTAAAAATAGGAGCCCCAGCCTTCCAGTCTTCTAGACAGCTCTGCCATTCACTCCCCCAACCATTGCCACAGTTGCCCCACTGCTCAACCACACATGCTGCTCTAGTTGGTGTCATCTCAGCTGCCTGCCTGCCTGCCTGCGTGCGTGCGTGTCTACCTGCCTATTATGAAGGTCATCCCAGGCACATAGCCGAGATTTTATTTGTTGCTTATTGTGGCTTTATATATGAGGCTGATGCTGCAAGTGTAACATTCACTTCAGCACATGGAGTAATTACAACAATAAAGGCTCTAATTATTTTTCATCAATGCTGCCACATGCAACTTCTCTCGTCTCTCCCAGCCGGCCCCAGGACAGAGACTGCACCCCGAAACCATACACCTTCATTGGTACCAGATAAAGAACCTTCTTAACTGAGAAGCCCAGAGAAGAGGGAAACTAGAATACCATGAACTGCAGATTCGCATGGTGGAGGACTACTGCCCGGAAGTTCTAAACAGACGCACGGAGTACCCAGAAGTGATGGCCGAGCTGTATAAACACGGTCTCAAACCCGCTCTGTTGTATCCTAAGACTTTGCATCACATCTCCCAGCAGTGTAAGACAGTGGTTTCATTCGGCTGATGAGGCGAGAAGATAACTGGACGACCTGCCCGTTACAGCGGAGTCACACTGAAAGATTGTTTATGTACTCATTATGCTTATTTGAGGGACAGCCCTGTGAGTAGACTGTTTTGTCTGATTTTCTCCTACTTTTGGGATATGTAAGGACTTTTGTTTACGCTTACGCATTACAGACTCCTCTTCTTTTCTCTTCTCCCTTGCTATTTGCAAGCAGGGATGCTATTCATGTCTCGTTGCTTACAATGTTCTCAAAGTTGGTTATATGTCGTGTTGTGGTTCCATTTGTGTTTCAAATCATTGGATTTGAAGGAAGGAAGGTTTTTTGGAGTGTACACAATGTGTGTTTTGGAGAGCTTGATGCTTTTTTTTTTTCATCATTGCTTTCACCTCAATTATGCCTCTCCAATTCTTAGAAGCGTGGTAAACGTCTGCCATCCTTACCAGAAAGGTAAAGCAGAATGTTCATCCTACAGGCCAATCTCTCTATTACACATCGATGTTAAAATTTTGGCTAAAGTTTTGGCACGAGGCTGAAAAACATTTTGCCATCAACTATATTTTTAGATCAAACTGGTTTCATTAAGAATCGTTACTCCTGTTTCAATATCTGTAGTCTATTAGATATAGTATACACCCCTCCCGAGTGCATCCCGAGTGCCTTCTCTGTGGATTTTCTCTAGATGTGGGGAAGGCATTCGATCGGGTCGAGTGGAAATACTTATTTAGAATT